AATGCTCTTCCATAGTGCTTCCTGTATCTTCCTAATGCTGGATGTCAAAACCGCTGTATCTACCTCCCAAATGCAGCCCAAAGTTGCTCCACAATACCGCTGAACATACCTCCATTATGCTTCTAAACGCCGCTAGATATAACTGTCAATGCTGCTCAGAATTACTCCTCAATGCCGTTAGGTGAGGAATGGCGGATAAAAATTATGGGACATGAAGTCAAGAGAATCTTTAATTTTCCGAAAATCTGTTCAGAAAAAATAAATTAAATCTGTGATCAATTATTAGATACATAAGTGTCGATAAGAATATTATTTAAACACTTAGAGTATCAATCAAGAATTTCCTGTAAAAGAGATTAGTTCTCTTATTTAAACAATATCTAACACTGTTTTTGTCCTTGTGATAAAATCTTTTCTAAGTAATATACGCAACAGATATGAATTTTTCAAGAAAACGCTCTCATGATCGAAACATTTCCATCATGTTTTCCGTGGTAAAATGATATTTAATATCAATAGAAGTCCAATTGACGTTTAACCAATCATAAAGAAATTTATGAAAGCACTTGACTCAGTCTTACAAAACAACAGTGAATACGAGCACGAGACAAAGCAAACTGAAGATGTTGCTAACGATGAAACTATCGTTCCTGGAAGATTCGACGGGTATCAAGGAGAATTACTGTACAATTCGTTACATGGCTGCGGCAGATTCAAATGGTTATTAGATAACGGGTTAGAAAATATTTATGATGGTAATTTTTTTGTAAACGACTTGGAGGGATATGGGCACGTTGTATATTCATCTGGTGGAATCTTTGAAGGATTGTTTAAACGAAGCCGTCGCTTTGGACCGGGAGTTTTTACATATCCCTACGGATTTCAAGACGTGGGGTTGTGGGATGGTAATTATCTGGTAAGACTCAGTTGTCCCGTGAATTTTAAAGTAATTCCACGACTAGCTTTCTCACAAAACGCAAAATATCGATTACTGAAATTCAGAAAACTAGTAACAATCTATCCTGAACTCTCTGACAAGGCAGGAGATATTTTAACAACTTTAGGTTGCACTAGTGATCTGGCTTGTACCATTGGTACAGATCGGTTGTACAATAACTTGGTCAGGAACAGAGACAGCACATTTTTGGACAAAAATCTATTCAATAAAGTTTTCTTTGGGTGCAAGAGTAAGGTTGAGATGTTGGTGTCAACCGAAGAAGAAAAAGAAAAAAAGTTTCGTTGATGATCCGGTACAAGTCTAAAATTAATTTAAGCTCATAATCTTTCTTATAAGATGAGAGAAACTTGTGGCCAATAACTTCAGATTTATAGCTGATAAATTTTTCAGGTCTACCTTTTCCCTTTTTGTAATGTTTAGACTTGAAGTGATTGATAGAATATGTGTATTTTAGTCTTGTTGGACAAGTAAACTTACTGCCTCAATTAGCTCTCTCTTATTTCTATCTTCATTTTGTTCTAGTGATTCAATGACACAACATTCTTCTAGCTAGGAGTTAGGCTATGAAGAATCGTCCTTGACAACAGTTTATCGTTATTAATAGCTACTTCCATGCCCATTAATCTATCAATGACAATTTATTATTTAATATATAATTTTATAAGACCACCACGACTTTCTTCAATTTTGGTAACGTGTCTATCACATATTAGCTCATCATACGTGATTGGCCTTGGATTCAGTTCAGCAAGTAGATATCTATTCTATATAAATGGATCTTGTTGAACATATTGAATTTCACTAAATGTAGCATTGTATTATAGATGGCGGTTAATACCGCACAGTTTGTAAGATTTCATAAACAATATTCTCAAAAGTATTGTTTTGCCCTATGCTACTTTTTATTCTTTAATATCCTCGAAGTAGGTATCGCAAAACAGACTGCATGGTGTTGTAGGACATTCGGTAGGAACAAAGTTTTTTACCCAATTCGATAAATATTAATTAGGATTCCCGGTTAGCTCCTATTGGAGATATTCAACACATGGTAGAGTAATCAAGTGTACCTCTTCAGTTCTCTTTCTCTGTTTCTCTGCAAGTGGTGAGTAAGGTATTTGGACCGAGTGATATGGTGAGGCAGATTGTTAAAGAACATGAAAAATGTTATAATTTTGTTCTTGAACTATTTCAAAATTTGTAATACCAAATTAGATTAATATTAACTGTAGATTTGCAAATGTGTTTTATTCAATATTTTGTTTAGTGTATTACATGGTCGAAAACAATACCTTTCAAAAGAATGGTAGATCTCCATATTACAAATTAGCGTTAATCCAGTTGACATAGGAAGGAACTTTTGTGGAAACTGATGGAGCAATGGAGACGCCACATGGTGAAAGACCCCACGACAGAACACCCACTTGGACGCCGTTCTGAACCAATGGGCCACCAACATCACCGGTACAAATGGCCACATTTTGCTCTCCGTCAGTACAAATTTGGGAATCGTCCAAAGGTTCTGAACTTCCAACTAAACTAACCAAAACGTCAGCGCACTCTACAAAGAAAGATATTTTCATTAAGAACGTGGAAAATTTAGAATTAGATATTGCAATTACGATCATTTGATATAATGTCTACGTCGGCGTATTGCAGGATGCTTGGGTAATCGTAATCTGAATCTGACGTATATCCCCATCCTGAATAGACGGCGGATCCAGAAACATCGGCACCTTGACTAGGAAGTACAACAGGTTGGACGGATGAGCTCAAGTCAAAGGGTGGATTTACTTTTATTAGAGCAATATCAAATGGGGAATCGCTCGTTTCACTTACACTGAAAAGCAAAGAAAATGATATTATGAAGAACGTAATCGATAAAGGTGGAATTCAATTATTTACACAGGCCAGTTTTCGTGAACGATAAAGCTGCTAGCAAGTCGGCGTTGGCTGGAAGAGGAACTTTCGTTTAGACTTAAAGCTCCAGCAAGGATCGAAATGTTTCTAGTATTATCTACGAAATCTGCGGCACAACTGGCAGCCGTGAGAACCACCGATGCACTAATGAGACTACCACCGCAGAAGTGGATGGAAAAATCATCTTCAGCCCACTGTAGAGAAACCTGGTAGGGAAATTGGTTTCTGGCAGCACGTTGACCACGCGTTACCCTGGTCTCCTCGGATGGCAAAATTTCTGTATCCTTAATCTTACGGAAAGAATGCACCTTTGGCGCGTTTGGTGCCGCTATTCAAATATTAAATAAAACGTATCGATATAGAACCAAGATATAAATTAGTAAGTGAATCGTTAAATTAAATCCAATCAAACTTACCAAGTGCTGCGGTACACACAAAACCTAAGAGAATAACGAGGAACTTCATTCTAAAATTGCCAGATTCATAATCAAACCAATGTGAAACCTAAACCATTCGGCTTTTATTTATAGGCAGGAAACTTATCTCCAAGCCCCGGACAAATTAAGTTCACACTTATCTAAAACATGCTAATATTTGATTGTTTGTGCCGATTAAAGTGCAAAAAATCTATTTTTCGTATCTACATACTTGTAAAATTCTTTTTAAATTAATAAAATATCGATGTAGGTACAATAAACAAATAAATAAAAAGACTGATAATTAAATTAATACTTATATAACTTACCATAGCCTAAGGCGCACAGGAGATCTATAAAGAACCATGAAACTTCATTCTTATTTGACAGTTTAATTAGCTAATCCACTGTACAACCCGAAACTACTTCTATTAGCATGAAGGAAACTTATCTCCGATTGTATCGTTTGTAGTCCAAAAGAGTATTTTTGGTATTTAGTGTCAAAATTTAAACGAAATACTGCAAGATGTAGTTTCCCTAAATAAATTCTTAATTTTTGTAGGTCTACTTTCGTAACATCATTCAAAATTGCTTCTTAACACCGTCAAGTATTGCTTCCTAAATCTGCCCAATCAATCCTGCCTAAATTTGCTTCTCACAATCAATATGGGTGTACCATCTCAATGCTGCTCAAAAATGTTTTTCAATAGCGCTTCCTCTACCTTCTTAATGCCGTTCGTCAAAACTCCTATGTCTACTTCCCACATGCAGCTGAAAGTTGCTTCTCAACACCTTTCCAATGCTACTCAAAAATGCTCTTCAATACCGCTGTACCTTTGTAAAGCCGGTCGTCAAACCGCTAGATATTACTCCCAAATGCAGCCCAAAGTTACTCCACAATACCGCTGAATATACCTCCCTAATGCTTCTAAACGCCGCTAGGTATAACTGTCAATGCTACTCAGAATTACTCCTCAATGCCTTTAGGCGAATCTTCCCAATCAATTCTGCCTAAAGTTGCTTCTCACTACCAACATGGGTGTACCTTCCCAATGCTGCTCAAAGTGCTCTTCAATAGTGCTTCCTGTATCTTCCTAATGCTGGACGTCAAAACCGCTGTATCTACCTCCCAAATGCAGCCCAAAGTTGCTCCACAATACCGCTGAATATACCTCCCTAATTCTTCTAAACGCCGCTAGATATAACTGTCAATGCTGCTCAGAATTACTCCTCAATGCCTTTAGGCGAATCTTCCCAATCAATTCTGCCTAAAGTTGCTTCTCACTACCAATATGGGTGTAGCTTCCCAATACTGCTCAAAATGCTCTTCCATAGTGCTTCCTGTATCTTCCTAATGCTGGATGTCAAAACCGCTGTATCTACCTCCCAAATGCAGCCCAAAGTTGCTCCACAATACCGCTGAACATACCTCCATTATGCTTCTAAACGCCGCTAGATATAACTGTCAATGCTGCTCAGAATTACTCCTCAATGCCGTTAGGTGAGGAATGGCGGATAAAAATTATGGGACATGAAGTCAAGAGAATCTTTAATTTTCCGAAAATCTGTTCAGAAAAAATAAATTAAATCTGTGATCAATTATTAGATACATAAGTGTCGATAAGAATATTATTTAAACACTTAGAGTATCAATCAAGAATTTCCTGTAAAAGAGATTAGTTCTCTTATTTAAATAGCTAATCCACTGTACAACCCGAAACTACTTCTATTAGCATGAAGGAAACTTATCTCCGATTGTATCGTTTGTAGTCCAAAAGAGTATTTTTGGTATTTAGTGTCAAAATTTAAACGAAATACTGCAAGATGTAGTTTCCCTAAATAAATTCTTAATTTTTGTAGGTCTACTTTCGTAACATCATTCAAAATTGCTTCTTAACACCGTCAAGTATTGCTTCCTAAATCTGCCCAATCAATCCTGCCTAAATTTGCTTCTCACAATCAATATGGGTGTACCATCTCAATGCTGCTCAAAAATGTTTTTCAATAGCGCTTCCTCTACCTTCTTAATGCCGTTCGTCAAAACTCCTATGTCTACTTCCCACATGCAGCTGAAAGTTGCTTCTCAACACCTTTCCAATGCTACTCAAAAATGCTCTTCAATACCGCTGTACCTTTGTAAAGCCGGTCGTCAAACCGCTAGATATTACTCCCAAATGCAGCCCAAAGTTACTCCACAATACCGCTGAATATACCTCCCTAATGCTTCTAAACGCCGCTAGGTATAACTGTCAATGCTACTCAGAATTACTCCTCAATGCCTTTAGGCGAATCTTCCCAATCAATTCTGCCTAAAGTTGCTTCTCACTACCAATATGGGTGTAGCTTCCCAATACTGCTCAAAATGCTCTTCCATAGTGCTTCCTGTATCTTCCTAATGCTGGACGTCAAAACCGCTGTATCTACCTCCCAAATGCATCCCAAAGTTGCTCCACAATACCGCTGAACATACCTCCCTAATTCTTCTAAACCCCGATAGATATAACTGTCAATGCTACTCAGAATTACTCCTCAATGCCTTTAGGCGAATCTTCCCAATCAATTCTGCCTAAAGTTGCTTCTCACTACCAATATGGGTGTAGCTTCCCAATACTGCTCAAAATGCTCTTCCATAGTGCTTCCTGTATCTTCCTAATGCTGGACGTCAAAACCGCTGTATCTACCTCCCAAATGCATCCCAAAGTTGCTCCACAATACCGCTGAACATACCTCCCTAATTCTTCTAAACCCCGATAGATATAACTGTCAATGCTACTCAGAATTACTCCTCAATGCCTTTAGGCGAATCTTCCCAATCAATTCTGCCTAAAGTTGCTTCTCACTACCAATATGGGTGTACCTTTCCAATGCTGCTCACAATGCTCTTCAATAGTGCTTCCTGTATCTTCCTAATGCTGGATGTCAAAACCGCTGTATCTACCTCCCAAATGCAGCCCAAAGTTGCTCCACAATACCGCTGAACATACCTCCATTATGCTTCTAAACGCCGCTAGATATAACTGTCAATGCTGCTCAGAATTACTCCTCAATGCCGTTAGGTGAGGAATGGCGGATAAAAATTATGGGACATGAAGTCAAGAGAATCTTTAATTTTCCGAAAATCTGTTCAGAAAAAATAAATTAAATCTGTGATCAATTATTAGATACATAAGTGTCGATAAGAATATTATTTAAACACTTAGAGTATCAATCAAGAATTTCCTGTAAAAGAGATTAGTTCTCTTATTTAAACAATATCTAACACTGTTTTTGTCCTTGTGATAAAATCTTTTCTAAGTAATATACGCAACAGATATGAATTTTTCAAGAAAACGCTCTCATGATCGAAACATTTCCATCATGTTTTCCGTGGTAAAATGATATTTAATATCAATAGAAGTCCAATTGACGTTTAACCAATCATAAAGAAATTTATGAAAGCACTTGACTCAGTCTTACAAAACAACAGTGAATACGAGCACGAGACAAAGCAAACTGAAGATGTTGCTAACGATGAAACTATCGTTCCTGGAAGATTCGACGGGTATCAAGGAGAATTACTGTACAATTCGTTACATGGCTGCGGCAGATTCAAATGGTTATTAGATAACGGGTTAGAAAATATTTATGATGGTAATTTTTTTGTAAACGACTTGGAGGGATATGGGCACGTTGTATATTCATCTGGTGGAATCTTTGAAGGATTGTTTAAACGAAGCCGTCGCTTTGGACCGGGAGTTTTTACATATCCCTACGGATTTCAAGACGTGGGGTTGTGGGATGGTAATTATCTGGTAAGACTCAGTTGTCCCGTGAATTTTAAAGTAATTCCACGACTAGCTTTCTCACAAAACGCAAAATATCGATTACTGAAATTCAGAAAACTAGTAACAATTTATCCTGAACTCTCTGACAAGGCTGGAGATATTTTAACAACTTTAGGTTGTACTAGTGATCTGGCTTGTACCATTGGTACAGACCGGTTGTACAATAACTTGGTCAGGAACAGAGACAGCACATTTTTGGACAAAAATCTATTCAATAAACTTTTCTTTGGGTGCAAGAGTAAGGTTGAGATGTTGGTGTCAACCGAAGAAGAAAAAGAGATCACTTCAACCATCAGCAAACGCGTGAGCATTGAATCAGACAGAAATTATCTTTGCCCTATAACCGATAAGGAAATCCAACTACAAGAGCTCAACAAATATATCGAAACAATGACCAAGCTGATCGATTATCTTGGCTTAAAAAAAGAGGAAATTCTGCAAGGCTATTTCGACGTTATCGAAACATCAGATGCAGCTGAAGAAGGAGGAGAAGAAGAAGAAGAAAAAGGAGAAGAAGAAAAGGAACCCGAGGATATTATGCAGTTGTTGTATTACAACTATGATTTGAGCCAATTTTTAGAGGCCGTTCCATGGTTGCTAAGAGCTACGTCTGCACTGAAAAGGATTTACAGAAGAATAAAGAGAATTGCCCAAGCAGAAGACGGTTCTGGTGATTACGGGGAGTGTTTTGATAAGATAAAAGAGCAATTCCTTCAAAAACTGGAAGACCTGCTACGCATTGCAACGTATAACAGGGAAATGTTTGTAGCCGAAAGGGACAAACTGTGGGAGAGTTTGCAAATTGGCGAAGAAGAAGAAGAGCAGGAGGTCGACGAAAAAACAAAACCTGAACAAAAATGCAGGTTTAAAACACTTAACCCATCGGACATACTGGCCTGGAATAATGAAGAGACCATCATTGAAATGATGATTCATTCTTTTTTGCATCAAGACATGGAAGACCAGGTTTCCTGCGATGTGTTCTCTCTAATATCCGGTAACCGATCTAAATATAAACAGCGGGGTCCGTATGAGGAAGATTGTCTATTCTTTTTGCAGTGTTGTTCTTCGGGGAGCATAGAAAAGATTAACAGGCTGAGTTGCAAGTATATAAATCCGGATATTTCTGATTGCAAAGGGAATACTGGAATGTTAGTTGCTGTCTCTAACGATAACATTGATGTGATAAGAGCCCTGGGAGATTTAGGAGCTGCCGTAAACGTAACCAATGATGAGTGCCTCACACCACTTACTTTGTGCTTGTGCAAATACTTGTCAATCTTTTACAAAGTTACAAACTGGGAACTTGCTTTCTTACCACCTCCGAGTAAGAAGCAATTGGAATTGAACTTCCAATGGTACCCTTCCAAACCGTTGGACGATTTCCTGGAGAATCCCGCGGACGAAGATAACTCGGAAGAGTTGCACATTTTCGTTCATAAAACTAGAAGCGTTTATCCAGAGAAGATCAACGATTTTTCCGACAAAAAGCAGAAATATGTTCTCAGCACGGAATGCGTTAAACCGGTTGTGCCGAAACGTAAAGAGAAAGGCAAAAAGAAAAAAGACAAAAAGAAGGCGAAAAAGAAAGAAAAATCGAAGACGAAGAGTGCCGCTTCGTCGAAAAGCGATAAGAATAAGGAAAAAGAAAAAAGAAAAGAACAAGCATTAAGAGAACAATATGAAAAAGAAATGCTGGAAATGCAAAAGAAATTGGACACAGTTTCTTCAACAATATATGTCGTACTTGAGATAGGTGCCGATCCAAATTTTGGGGAGGTTCCCTTACCTCCCCTTATCTTGGCTTTATTTTCAAGTAACGTTTCGTTAGTAACTAAACTTCTGTCTCATCACGCCGACCCAAACATAAGATGTAGGGACAAAAACATGACCCCGTTGCATTATTTGGCGTCCAAGCCACTCTCGAAGGAAGATCCAAAGATATTGCGCACCGTCCTCCAATATCAGGCCAATCCAAATTCGATAACAGACAGCACGCATTGGCCTCGAGAGGCCGAAGTGATTTTGGGAAAGGAAAAACTAAAAAACGCGAACGATGAAGGTAAAACCGCTTTACACATTCTCAGCATGAGGTACGACTACCTCCAAGAGGATAGCGAAACCATAATGATTGAAATGGTGCGGACCTTGTCGTATTTCGGGGCAAACACTGAGTTGCAGTATTTGGGCCATACCCCATTGACTTTGGCAATACTTAGAGGGAATATTCAGTTGGTGGATGAAATGCTCAAGACCAATCTGTACAATGCCAATCAGATTCTTGGACGTAACATGGGAGTCCCACTGACAGTGCTCTTGTTGCCTTCTTATATCGAGGTGCAACCCCCAAATATCGGTAAATCTATGATTGAAACGCTCATACAGCACAACGCGAATCCTTTGAATGTGATAGGCGATTCAGGAAACGCCATCGAATTTTTGATAAATCTAAACAAACCGCCGAAGAAGGACAAGAAGGATAAGAAAGATAAGAAAGACAAATCGAAAAAACAGAAGAAAGGAAAATCAAGCAAAGGTTCCAAAATGAGTAAAAAAGCCAGAGCAGCACAACTGGCCCTAACGAAATTCTTCAAAGAGCAGACCAGAAATGTATTGATGAGAAACATCCAAGCCAAATGCGTCAAGTATTTGTTCATTCTCGCATCAGAAGAATGTCTAGAAGACGAGTTTCTAACGAACGTCGCCAGACTCGTATCAGTGGAGGAAGCTTTCAATATCATGCAACTGTTGATCGAAAATAAACGGATAAAAATCGACGAGAACTATAAAGAAACTTGTTACGCGGTTTTAAAATTCATCGAGGATGCTAACCAGCCGGAACCGTCTTCCAAAAGGAGCGCCATTCCATCCCGAACTACCTCAGTAGCAGAACTCATAGAAGACCTTAAGACAGTTGTAAAACCGTACGAGACAAACAAATACTTGGCATATCCCCCGGAACTCGACAAATGCAATAAGAACAAATATAACGTTTGTTTTAATTGTTGTTGCGCCTTCGGAAAGAACCTCGTGGCCTGTCCTAAATGTTTCATGGTTTATTTCTGTTCGGAAGCATGCAATAAACAAAATAATTCTTTAAAAACGACAAAACACAAATGCAAAGGTTTGTTCTACAAATCGGAAAAGGAAAAACTGGACAACTATGCACAGTTGGACATTCCTTACGAATCTCCGTTGGAACGAAAACTGAAATGGGTGGCGGAACTTGTCCGCGAACGGAAACTAAACATCAAACTGAGAAAGAGGGCACTTAGGGAATACGAAATGATTTATGGGAAAGTGAAGGAAGGGAAAGATAGTTTGAAGAAGTTGGAACAGCGAGAAAAGTTCATAGAAGAAAAGATAATTCATTATAAGAAAGCAATTGCAGAAAACGACAACAAAGGAAGAACTAAACAAAAGGAATGTAGAGGTAGAAACATTGAATTCTCAACGAGGGAGACCTCGAGGAACAATTCCCCAGCGAACAATAATACCACAGTCGAATTACAAAGCGAGAGGAATCATACTTCGGGTGATAGAAGAAAACTGGTCAGCGGTGATTCGACACCAAGCAAACCTCAAAAAGGAAGTGTGTGGTCATCCACGGACCAAGGCAGTAGTTGTAAAGAAAACTGTTACTCGATTCTAAACCAAGGAAATAATCTGGACTCCACTGATTGGGACTCGAAGATACCACGGTCATCCAAGCATGGAAATGGTAGAAACGATTTTGATCCAAAGAACACTCAAACCAAAGGTCACTTGTCAGATAGAAATCACGACAGCGGTGATGGTAAAGACAAGTGGGAATCGAAAGAGGCTCGTACAAAGACATTGTGGTCTCCCAAGGACCACCGAGGTGGTGGTAGTAAAGACAAGGATCATCCGAAAAGGAAGCATTCAAATGTTCAAGAAAATTGGGATAGAAAGGAGAGACGAACGAAGACACAACTGTCATCAAGAAGTAACGAACGAAGAAGGAATACTTGGGACCCAAAAGAGAAGCGATTACACACAACAAAAGGTCATGATGGTGATAGTAGAATTAATTATGGGCAACACCCTCTGAATGCCAAAGACACAACCAAAACGTCACTAAACAAAAAACAAGGTAATAAACTTAATGTCCACCAACCTTCGAGAAAACAGCCACGCTCTTTAGGAACTGACGAAGTCATGTCTTCTTTGAAAAAATCCTACCTTCTTGGGACAGATACTGACAGGAAACGTATGATTTCCGCAAGGAGACAACTGGAGTTTTACCTTTCTCAGTCACCCCGATTGAACATGAAACAACAAAGAACACCCAAAGGTTTACACAAGTTTCTTGTCAGGAATGCCTCTTCCAAATTGGGAAGATTATGTACACAAGGTGCCCACTATCAAGGGTTCATGTATCCTTCGAAAATTCCTAGTAAATTCCAGATCCTTTTGGGGAAACTTACCGAGCACATGTCCGACTTTGATCTTAAACGGTTACTCCTCCCATACTCGTGTTTCACCGGAGATCAACTCTATTTCAGATTCAAAAGATCAAATGTACCCACTTGTGGAACGTATAGCGACGTATGATCATTTTTATTTATTATTTTTACACTGTATTGATATCATTCAGTTTCTTTATTCACTTTTATCTATTTTTAGTTGTTATCATAGAATTCATTTGTTACAAAGTGCTTTTTGTTTCTCGTTTTGGAAATATACCGTTTCAGTTAGAATTCATTATTCTTTTATTTCTGGAACGATTGTTAGCGCTAAGTATTTAATCTAAATGTGTAAACTACAAAACGCGTTATAGACAGCGATAAGCATAAAAACGGTTGCATTGTGAGTAACCCATTGCAAAACACATCTTCGGTAAATTGATATTTTTTGTTTCAAGGAGAAACGTGTTCCATTCGTTTCTGCTTCGCAATTATTGGGATTCCTATTTAACTTTTAGGTCGCGGTCTCGTTAGTATCTAGCAATATTGGAGATGGTCTCGTTGGCGTTTTTATTGTATTGCAGTTTATTTTGTGTGACAGGTAAATAACAAACATAACATTTTCTAACTTCGACTCTTGAATGTATTTCCCTTTTTGAAGAGAATGCGACTGAAAATTGGCAGGGATTTAGCCAGTATTGGAACGAATCGATTGAGAAATGGAATGGCGTAAACAGATACTGGAATCAGACAGAAAGTGAGAAAGAAACTGTTCAGAACAACACAACAATCCATGACAGTATACTTGAAGTTGGAATTGTTTTCGATAATACTTTTGTCGATCGTTCGGGGAAGATAACAAAAGGAAAGATGGCATCTGAGTTTCAGTTTCCTTACATGGTCTCCGTCCAATACAAAGGGTTAATTTTTACGTACCATGTGTGTGGTGGGGCTATCGTTACCAGATTTTACGTACTAACAGCTGCCCATTGCGTTGAAGAAGAACGAGAGTACATTGTGGAGGCGGGACTTCTTAATTTCGAACAGAATGACAATGAAACCCAGCAAAGAGAGATAGCAGAGAGGCAGTTGCACGAACAATTTACAAAGTAAACGAAGTTTAGTGTGATGACAGAAGTAGGATGACTAAAAGGTCAAATTTTTAGAAACCCCAGATATGTGCAACACGATATTGCTCTTCTCCGTCTGAAGTCGCCATTTCAATGGACCCAATCGGTAAGACCCGTTAAACTTCCAGCGTTCTATGCGGAATTCGATGGTAAAGCTGTGGTCTGTGGATGGGGCAGAACGGAGAGGGGTGTGGAATCAACTTGGTTGCGTTACCTTGATGTTGACTTGCTTTCTACTGACGGTATGACCCATGAGAAATCCAGAATTTTATAGATACCTTCATGGTCAAATAACTCAAGTATTCAATTAATTTTCAATTACGTACACATCAAAGATATCGGTTTGGTATGATGAGAAACTAATGGGTTATTTGACCTTGAAATCGCCCATTTATTTTATGCGTCAACGTCTGCAGGTAGGTTTTAAAAAGCGTTAATTGTTAAAGAATGCAACGCAGAAATAACTAAAGTGGGAGATAGTTCGAGGGCGTTGGACACAAACCTGTGTTCCAGTGGTTCCTCTGGGACATCTGCATGTTTTGGGGATTCCGGAAGTCCGCTCGTTCAAGATGATGTTCTGATTGGTTTGGTCTCGTGGGGAATTGGGTCTTGCGGAAAGTTGTCCGAACCAACAGTCTACACTAAATGTTCTAATTACATCAACTGGATTGAGTCACGTTTAACTTTTACCTAAGTTAATCTTATAGTAATGTTTTTATAGTTAATTTTATGATTTACGTTTTATTCTGTATTGTAGAATTTATTTATTTATGGTCTGTTCAACGCAACGTCTAAATAAATACTTAGTGTAAAATCAAAGTGCTTCATTTTTTCGTTATTTATCTAACAATTCCTAGACAAAACCTCACCTATTTTTCACCTTTTACGTACACATGTAGTTGCAACAATAAAAAATCTTTTCTTTTTTGAAAATGTTATAAATATTACCTATTGTTATTCAAAATTATTACTTTGGAAAAGTATAACTGGCTGCGTTATTTAAGATAGAAGAAAGGAAATTGTTTTGAACTTTGATTAATCGTACTCGACGACAATATCTAATCAGTAAAAGCCTTAAATTTATAAAAAGTTATCGAATCAGGAACTCGAAATTTGGCTAATTCACAAAACACTGTATTTAATCACTAAAAATACCAAAAATGCTAAATCATTCGATTGGTGCTTAAATCAAGTGGATTCAATATTTTCTTCAAGAAGTCCCTTGGCATTCTATCTACCATTTACCTAATAGACAATAATTTGCAAAATTAACGGATTTTAAAATATGATTTTCGGTTTAAGTTTAAGTTTACTACCCTGTATGGTTTTAAGTGACTTTACGGGTAAGAAAAGAAAAAAACATTTTTTGAATTTATTCGTATAAAAATATAAAGAAAAGGTTTTTGTCCATGAACCTTGTAGGTTCTCCCAAACACGACTTCGAACTACTCCCTGAAAATCTAACCGTTAGACACCACGACGTAAAGGGACACCAATATCCATTCATGGTGTCTATTCATTGGGGATGGCTCAACTATTCCTACGGGTACCATATTTGCGGTGGCGCCATTATTTCTCCCATATACGTGTTATCAGCCGCCCATTGCAAACGAAAAACAGGACGTAATGTGGTGATTGCAGGAAGCACTGACTTTTACAAAATCAGTAACACAAATCAATTTAGAAACGTTTTAGAATTTATATTACATCCAAATTTCGCTAGGTCTGTCGGTCAATATTGTAAAAATACTTCAACGGTCATCAATATAATAAATTGTAGGGTTGAGTCACTTGTTATGTACGATATTGGCCTTTTGCGGGTTCAACCCTTCAAGTGGTCTCCCGCCGTGCAACCTGTTGCTCTTACGGATGGTAATCAATTGACCACGAATGCCCAAATGACTCTCGTGGGATGGGGCAAAAATATTTATGGAATACCAAGCAAACTTCAGCACACAATGAAGATTATTTTACCTGTGAATGGTGAGATAATTATTTATGTTATTACACAGCCAGATAAATTGGGAATGGTCCCATACTTTTGTAGTGTGCGTTGAATATTTTCCGACGGGTATCGGATTCTCGAGGCAAACAAATATGTGTTCTAAAGTACCAAAATCTCCCAGTCCTTGTTTGGACGATTCTGGCAGTGCCCTCGTCCAAAAGGGATATATTGTGGGAATATCGAGCTGGGTGGCATCCAGATGTGGCAGATTTAGTCCCATTCTTTTCGTGAAGGTGGCAGACTTCTACAGTTGGATTAAATCAATCGTATAAAGTTGACCAATTGATCACCGCGAACTACAACTTACAAATAGTATAGTCGTATGATATTTATTATTATTGGTATTGAAATAAATAAATAAAAATTTCTGAATACGACTTTATGTAGGTTGGTAAATTTGGAAAAGAATATTAAAAGTGTAGGCTTGGAGCACGACCTTGTAAGGGTGCGAACGTGGACGGTGGGTGCGACAGAGAAGAAAACAAGATAGAAGGCCGTAGATGGATGAAGAAAGGGCCACTAAAATGGGGAAGCATAAGAAAGAGTAAGAGGGAAGAGAGGACGTTAAGAAAATCAATAGGCAATAGGCGAGATAAGTTGATAACCGATGTCCTCTCGAATGCTAGGTAGGACACGTTCCCAGACATTAAGGATTAGTTAGATAATTTTACGAGGAGTTAGGAGGACTAAATTACTGTTCAAAAATAGTTAAAGATGTAGAAGGTTTTTAAGAAATGCAAAAATTGACTCATGACATTAGGAGGTGCGTGACCAAGAAGTTTTACGGTTGAAATCCTCATGGTAATTATGATGAAGATGTAGATATCTATGGATATTTAGATTCTACTCTAATAACAAAATCCTTCTTCATATATTTAAACAAATTAAAATTGGGGGTTTCCCAATCTAAAAAGAAGTAAGACAAGAATCAAATCATCATCATCATCATCATCATCATAAGGTCGTCAGACTGGTTGGATACGCACCTCCAGTATTTCCTATCCTGAGCTAATTTTCGCATTTCCCTAAAACTAAAACATCCCACATCCTTAACAATTTGTGAACACTAATCTAATCTAGGTCTACCACTACCCCTCCTAACTCCTGTTTCTGCCTCTAATATATCTCTGACTAGACATTCATGCCTGAGAAGGAGTCCTACTACCCTATATCGCCTATTTCTTATTGACTTCCATAGAGTCTTCTATTCTCCTTTTCTTTCTAATACCTTTTCATTTCTAACCTTTTCTATCCACGGTATCCTTTTTTCGAACTATTCTGACCTTTTATTTTCTTTTTATTCAAGGTGTAACCCTGCTACTCCTTCCGTCCTGACTTATCTAACTTCCTAGATACCCAAAATCAGCCACTTCTTCTAATTTTTCGTCTTCTATCTTTATATTCGTTCTTTCTCTACTTTTTCTTTCCTTGCATACCAGTATTTTTGTTTTACTTTTATTTATTTTCATACAATGCAGCATGAAGTAAAAGAAAAAATTTTGGCCATCTTCCATCTTTCCTTGTAAGTATGTTATTATTGATTAAAAATAAATGTTGTGCAAGTTACTAAGCAACTAAATACTAATGTATAAGTGTCAATTTGTGTCTAGTAGATTAATGTAGGGTGTTTTTTTTATTTTTTTTTATACATGCACGTCTTTTTTTTATATAAATAGTCGTAATACATAACGTTGCTAATTATCAAACAAACTGCCACTTTGGAATTAAATAAAACCGTCATAATTGGTTGATTATGCCTGATATGAAGTTACACCAAGCCATTGAGGCGACAGGGCACAAGGAATTGGGGAAAAAACAAAAAAGTGCAAACGCTGCGTCCAACACAAATGCTGTTTCTGATTACGATTTGAACGTTTCAAAGCAAAGGGTTTACAATGTTCTGAAGGCAGCAGTGGAGAACAATGAGCTTGTTGTAGGTGACCAATTGCGACATTTTGATTAATTTATGTTCGTAATACGAAAACAATTATTTCAGGCCTGTTTGCCATTGCTTATTAAGAAGAATGGTAAAGTTCTGGAGGTGCTTTCCGTGGAAAAAAAGGAACATGTAGATTTCATAAAAGACGTTTGTTTAAAATTTTACGAAAACAGAAGGGCACGATCAATTGGCGACAAATCGGAAGTGCCGAAAAGGAAGAGTGGAAAGAAAGATACTAAGGTAATACGTCAGGTCGTTATCATAGGTCATCTTAGGTCATGCATTTCTTCCTTTAGAATGAAGCAATACATGAAAAAGACGTAACAGTATTACTAAGCAACAAGAAAACTCAACGCTATACGAAAGTGAAGCCTCTATTGTCACATGCAATTTCCCTATTTCTGAAACTGAGATGCGTAAATTTAAAAAGGCGTGACATCATTGATAAATATGGTCTTCACGCTAACGCCACTAAATTTATCAATTGCCTTGAAATCCTTGCAGATATTGCTGCTGAACTGTTATTCCAATCTGACAAAGAGATCGCCGAAAAGGGAGAAGAACTGATGAAGGCTGCCAGAAATAGCAAAATGTTACAAGGGTTAATTAATGGTAAGTTGTTTAATAAGAACTTATTTTACTGTACACAATCGTATTAAGTACTTATAGAATTCTAATAAAATAATTCTCGAGAATTCACATTGTTATGCGGCAAATATGTGTCACTCAGGTTATGATTTTGCGTGTTGAGTATAAAGGTTGCCGACTGTAGGTCGGTCGTTGCCTACGGGCATACTCAAGAGCCCTCAGGAATTATATCATTTGCATGTTTGTAGGTAAAAAAAACTTTATACGTGTAGTTGTCGAGTAATTAACAATCAAATGTGTACTACTATTTTCTTAAAACTGACGATGACACTTATTGTGCATATTTTCTAGAGTTACTGGTGAAAGTAGACAATTTAAGGAAGCAAAGTTCCAAGCAACTGGCTGAAAAGGAAGTTGTCTTAGATCAGTTACAAAATAAGAAAGATTTGGTCGTTTTCGACTACAGAAACCGTTTAAAAGACGTTTGGTAATCAAATTATTTGTCTCAGAAATTAGAACTATTCTTGAACACGATTAATTTATTGCGTAGTATATCGTCTACATTTAATATGGCCGAGGCAAATGTCGAAAGTGCAGAACGATCGGAGGAATTGAAAAAACAAGTGAAAGAAATGACGGAAACGTACGCGACACTTTGTAATAATAACCTCTCAACGGAGAAAAAGCTGAAAAACAAATGCGGTAAAGTCGAATCACAATTGGCCAGTTGGCTTGCAAAATACGACTCAGATGTTGGAGATAAAAGAATGGAATACGAAAGACTACGTGACGAGTAAATTTATGAAGTTTATATTACAAAAAAAAAATGTTAGATCCTTTTTAATCAAAGATAAATCGATATCCTTAATTAAAAAGGATCTCGATGGACCCACAATTAGAACAATTAACTTTGCCGTTTGTGGTTATTTGCGATTGTTTTATTCATTTGTACAGCCTTGATGATTTGGATTCTGCAATTGATGATTTGGAGGATATGATCGCCGATTTGGATCCCCAATATTTACTTTTCAAAGAGGAAGAGGAAGAAGAACTTCAGGAGAAGTTCAACGAAATGGCTTACAAATTTTTACTTAACCGATCCGCAATGACAATTCAGAGATACTGGAGGGCGTACAGATTAGAAAAGAAAACCAAAAAGAAAGGAAAAGGTAACGAAATGGCTAGATACTTATTATTTTCACTCTGCTATTTTGTATTATGTTTCCTTCGATATAATATTACAGGAGGAAAAAAAGGCAAAGGCAAAGACAAGTAAACAACGAAGTTGTACTTAATTATTAAGTACGAAAAGAAATGGACGTTCGCTTAGAAGCTTATTGGAATTAGTAATAGAAATGCATTGAAAAATAACGATCTTTGCTTACAACAATAACAAGGTTATCAATAAAAAATGTGTGGTGTTCTGTTTTTTCTTTACAATAAATATTGCACGAATATTTAGCCTATTAACCCCACCAACACGCGTGGATACCGTTCGTGAAGAGGCTTTCAAACCGTGCGTTTTTCATGTCTGATGCATTTTTAACTACTTTGTGATGGCTTAGGGTACCACACTATCCCGAAAGGGTACATTATTTAGAAAAATCTATCCCTTCTTTCCTGATAATCACAATTACACGAACATTTGGCATATCATTCCCACGAACACGCGTGGATACCATTCGTAAAGAGGCGCGCGTGAATACTCTTATCAGTTTTAATATAGTACGAGAATTGGGCTTTAAAACAGTGCGTTTTTACATCTGATGCATTCTCAACTGTTTTGTCACAGCATAGGTACCACAGTGCCCCGAAAGAGTAGAGATTTTTGGAAAAATCGATATCCCATTCCATGTAATGGCAATTACTACGAACACGCGTGGATGCCATTCGTAAAGAGGATTCGTGGATACTCTCATCAGTTGTAATATAGTACGAGAATTGGGCTTTAAAACCGTGCGTTCTTCATGTTTAATGCATTCTTAACTGCATTGTGGCGGCTTAGGATACCACACTGCCTCGAAAGCGTACATATTTCTGATAAAATCTATTCCCCCTTTTCATATAATGACAATTGCACGAATATTTGGCGTAACATTCCTACAAACACGCGTGGATACCATTTGTAAAGAGACGCGCGTGGATACTCTCATCAGTTTTAATATAGTACGAGAAGTGGGCTTTAAAACCGCGCGTTCTTCATGATTGATGCATTCTTAACTGCATTGTGACGGCTTAGGATACCACACTGCCTCGAAAGCGTAGAGATTTTTGGAACAATCGATATCCCGTTCCATATAGTGGCAATTACACGAACATTTGGCGTAACATTCCCACGAACACGCGTGGATACCTTTCGGAAAAAGGCGCGCGCGTATGTTTTCCCCTATTCTAATACCGTGCGTGCTTGATGCATTCCCTGAAAGAGATTCTTTTCCGAATAACCGAATACCGCACCCGAAACTTGTACAAAAACACTTGTACCTGAAATTCTACCAACATGATTTGAGTTCAATCAAGACGTTCACTCTAATTTACTAAACTACAAAGGTATTATGATATAAATTTTATTAATGAGATAATGCGACAACGTTTTAAGATAACAATTTTGTATAATCTCTGTACAAATTCGTGTATTGCTATTTCTAATGTGTTCAGGATGATAACGAGATAAGAGAGGTCGGTTCTTTCTATGTGTTAGCTGATTCATTCGTAGGTGAAGTTTGTGACAAATCTATAGTACGAAAACCTATCATATTATGGCTGATTTTTTATATGAAAGTACGATAAACTTTCTCTGGCATGCATTCACGGCCTTGGACACCAAAAGCTCTGGAACAGTTCCCAAATCTAAATTAAAGGTGAGATTTCAAATGATATTTAGTTAATGCATATACGTTTTTAAAACCATAGACTAATTATACAAACATTGGAATTGTTTAGAAGCTTTTTCTCTGTAAATATCTTTGTTAACAGATTTTCGTGTTAATTGACTGTTAAATTAATTCTTAAAGATTGCTTTTAAAAAGAATGATTCATAATATTGTGTGTTCTTTGAATGAGATAGTGGTTTATTACACCATTTATAATACGTATTTGTCAATTTTATCTTCAAAATTGCAATAAAAATGACGACATACACATTAGTTTACATTACAATAGTTACTATTTTTGATATGAATCTAGTAACTAACAATAATATTTAATACCAGTTTCAAGCGAATAGCACAATACATACGAAAACCTTGGACTAGTATCATTTTTAGGTTTTTCAAATTTGCGAAGGATTTCAGAAAGTGACCATGCAGAAGTTATTAAGGTAGTACACACATAATTTGTATTTATTTGTAGGTTCTTACGTCCAATATGGCTTCCATATTGGGTTTGTACGACCTAGAACAGGGTCTCGACCATTTTAGAAGCACTCCTGGGCTTAATTTTGACAATTATCAATACTATCTGCGCAAAGAAGTGTTTTCAGTTGTAACTGGTGACAAATTATCGTCGAAAAATGCGCGAGAATATGAATTGAAAATAGCAAGATTGTGCTGGCTCGTATGTTGCAGAAAATACTTAACCAGAAAGGGCCTCATGTTGTCCGAAGACAGCCTTTTTAAACTGTTTGTAATTTTTTGTATGTCAAGTGAACTGAAAACAAAATCTGGCGACTTGCGTCTAGTTACTTTGCACCCTTCTGAAGCAATACACATTGCACAAACATTCGTAAACTCGTTGGGGTGTACGTGGGACGAAAACGAATTCGTAGACGTTGCCATCTCCCTGGGGTTCTTTCAATTCGAGTCGTTTGTAGCTATTTTGGAGACGCGTTGCTTCGGAACCATTCAAATAGAAGAAGCCGTATCGGAGGCAATAACAGACTTGTACGAAACGTACGTAGAAGACGTTGTCAAGAAAGGATATCTATTAAAAAAAGTCAACTCTTCGTTACCGATAATGAAAGAGTACTGGTTCGTGTTGAAGCTTTCGGCTTTGGAATATTTCAAAAGCAAAAATGATAAGGCGCACTGCGGATGCATGAATTTGGAATCGGGCATCGAAGTGCGATCTAAAGATGGAAACAGGTTTCTTGTAAAGAATAGCAAAAGAAAAGTCGAACTTCAAACGAAAGACCCAATCACAAGATTGCAGTGGCTATCAGCATTGAAAATTGTAAACGATAATAATTCTGACCGGGTTCGTACCACAAAAGGCAGAATAGAGAGGCAGCAAAGGTTTGACGAGCAACTTCGCATCCAGTGTGACGTTTATAGAAGAGAACAAACGACCCAAATGAAGATGATAGCGATGGAAGAATCGAAACGCCTCAATGAGTTAGAGCAACTAAAAGAGAATTTGGAAAGGTTGCTAGTGGAAGCAAGAGAAGCTAAAAGGGGAGAAGAAATCGTAAGGTCACTGCAAGCAAGGGTTTTGGCAGAAGAATGGGAAAGAAGGGAAGAATTGGAGAAGTTACAGAGAGAACAGAAAGAGCGATTGGAACAAGAAGTATCCAAGAGGAAAGAATGCGAAGGACTACGACTAGAAAAAGAACTACAACTACAAGGTCAGTGGACAGACGGATTTAATGTGTCAGCAATGAGAGGCAGATGTGATTGTAATTGTTTTTGGAAGTAATACGTACATATATGATAATAGCTTTATTGTACTAATCATCATCATCATCATTATAAAGTCGTTAATCCAAAATCCCTTCAACCCTGGAGCCAATTCTTATGTTTCTGGATATATCAATATAGATCTTCCTCTCTGACTGTTTCTTCATATCTCCAAAGAGACTTGTGTTCTTGTACTCAAATATCTACATCCTCATTTGTAACATTTTTCATCATTCCTTAGTGCAATTCACTAACGTTTTTTTCCATTTTGAGTTAACTAACTTTCCAGGTGACCAATGACTTATTGCTTCATTGTCATGTTTCAGCTGCACAAAAGCTTCTGCATCAGTTAGAAGAAGAAAAGCTCGATGTGGACGCAAAACTTCAAAACGCTCTGGAAAAAATTCAGAAAATTGAACAAAACAAACAACTTTTGCAAAATAAACTCGTACAGGTTGCTTCGTTTTTAGAAGACGGGTCAAAGGTGCGAAGGACGCTCTCCTTTATGCCAACCACAAAAGAAAGACCTTTAATACTAGAAATAAGGGCGGCTGCCACTTTAATGAAGTCTTGAATGAAATATTCTAAAATATTTCTTTAATTAATAAGTACCGGTAATAACTTAGAAGTTTAGTTGTTTCCTAACGTTTCGCTAGCACGAGGGCAAGCTTCTTCAGAGATCTTTCCATCTCCGAGTCCATATCCAGAATCACCAACACACAACGACCTTTAGGTGTATCAGGACAACATCAGTTCACTTACTGACCGCGAAAGACTTTACCAATTTTTGTCAGTTTATTTTTTATTTATGGTTTTTTAAACCTTTAGAATTAATACTTAATTACAACAATTTGGAACACAAGAATTGTTGATAATTGTTAGCCAATAGCTTAAAATCATAAGACCGCGATAGGTAAAGACAACAAAAACGAAGTGAGTTCTACTAAAATTTTAAGAAAATCGAAGGCGTGACCTTTAAAGTAAACAATTATCAAATTGTTTATTAATTTTACGTATAGTATAAATGATGTTTAGTTATTTTGATATTTATTTCATTTTTGTATGTTGTTCAAATCAGTAAATTAGTTACATAACGAAATTGTTTCGATATTCATCTACATGTAATAAATTCTGTGGATGTATTTTGAATTAGTGCATAAGTCAATCAGTAAATAAATTTATACACAGCGTTTGTTTATTATTAAACAAAGTGAGTGGTGGGGACTGATGGACAGTAAGCAGTTAGTAGCCTGGAGGATACTAGTTTTTGTATCTCTGTAGCATTTTGTTGCAGTAGTTTCATCTGAACTAGTTGCTCAATGCTGTTATCAGTCCCAAAGGTTTTAATACGTGTTGATAGAAAAACATCGTTTACATCGATTTTATGATATTCTGTCCGTTTAAAAATCCAAAGTGATCAAAATGGTCAACGTTTTGAAGGTTTTCACTGCAGAAAATTCTGAGCTCGCAAATCCTGATAAAAAGGAAAAAAATCCTGAAGACGAGACCATACGCAGTGAGTAACGTCTGTCCGTTAATCATTTTTAATTAATTACATTCTTTTTGAGATATTTGTCATTAAATTATTGAAAAAAAGGAAATTAAATCATCATGGGAATTCGATATTTCATAAGTTCATATTAAACCAAAAAGAACCTCACCCTAATTGCCACAAAACCTGTTCACTGCGAACACGTGTTTCACCCAGTTCTAATGTGGGCATTATGTATGCGAGACTTGCACCCACAATAGAAATGGGCGAAACACGTGTCCGCAATCAACAGGTTTCGTACTAACTGGGCCGAGTCTTTTCTTGGTCCATTTATTTCTTCACAATAGTCTTCATTTCCCTACTTTCATCAGTTGAGGTAGGTACCTACAGCAAATGTCTCGATTTCCTAGATTTAATTTAATTAATGCTCAAAGAAAATTTACTTAGACAGTCTAATTGGCCGCGTGGGGTGGTTTTAAAGGCAGTTAGGGAAATTATTTTTTGGTAACCTTTTAACACAAATATGTGAAACTTGAAACTGTTGAAGATTTGTAACATTGGTTAGGTACTTACCCGAAATCACAAACCAAATCATGATGAAGATACTTTTATTTACAAATTAAATGGGACGATCTTGGGTACCTCACGCGCCTAATACAGGGATTAACAACAAATTGTAGTCCCTATCTAATTAACCAAATTTCTAAAATTTCTTTTACGTCTTTACGGCGCATCAAACTTAAAATAGAAATAAAAATTAATAATATTTTGATACGCATGTAGCGGTTTTAAATAAAACGTGATAAGGATAACCTTTAATGACATGTAGGTAAGGTCCAATTGGTTCTGTCCACTGCAGCGTACTACTGCGAAATACGATAATCTAAATAGAATATCTAAAAAGAGCCTCTTTTTAAGCGACCTTTAGCTACTGTTTATGAAATTTATTCAATAACACAAGTAAAAATTCAAAAGCTAGATATGCAAAATATACAAATAAATATTATTATAAATATCTCCGAATTCGGTATTTCTAGATATTATAGTGGATATCTATTGTTTATCTGGAAAATTTTCAAAAGTCGGTTTCAGTTGTTACGAAATTATTTTAGTCTACTCGGTGCGCCTAGGAAATATTTTTGACCACAAGGATTGTTTTCATACTTTGACTAAGGGGTGACGGTTACAAATAATATCAGCTTAAAATTTTAATATTAACAAAGGAGTTTAAATATTATTGCTGTGCATTTTTCATTACTCTCTATAATACTGCTAACGATTACCTAACATATTTATATGTACAAACTTATTATGGATGCGTGTTTCGTAATATCTGTTTTAGACCACAGAAGAAGTATAATAAAACAATACACGGACAGGTACTCAAAATTCAATTAGTGCGATTTGCAATTAAAGTTTTAGAATACCGAGAAAGGAAAACGTTGAGTATTTTTATTGTATTGTTATATGCTGATCTAGATTTTTTTTGACACGAGAGTTCAATAAAAATTCTTCATAATAACAGAATAAAACGAGGACAGGGTCAAAAGCTACCACCTTATCATTTTTAAATGGAAAAACGCATTATTTACAATTATCTTTCTAAATTAACACATAATATATGCCATCCATAAATATACGAACATATACAGGCGGGAATGTGGTGAAGCACCATGTGTGCCTAGATTCTATTGGCTGCTTGTACTGCGCACGCCTGATACGTCATTTACGCAGCGCAGCCAATAAAACCTAGGCACCACTACATGGGCGCTTCCATTCCCTAGCCGAACATTCCAAACTTGTTTCTAGGCAACTGGTATGGAGTACGACACACACAAATTCTTCTTCTGTTTATGTTGACAAACTTGGCCTACGGAATGCGGGTAAATTTGTCCGTAGCCATCGTGGCCATGACTGATAACAGTACAAACCCGAACTACGATTTTCCGGTACGATTGTGGACTGTAAAACATTTTTTTTTCTACTTATTTGTTTCGTAGGTATACGAATGGCATGACAAAAGTATTATCTTGTCGTCGTTTTTCATGGGATATATCATACCTCAAGTGGTAGCCGGCCAGTTGGCAAAAAAATATGGACCAAAATGGTTTCTGCTCGTGACCATGGCCGTGGGATCTTTATTTTCAATCCTCATACCGACATTTGCCCGATTTGGTTCTTGGGGAGTCATACTTTGCAGAATAATTCAAGGTTTTTGTCAAGGTTTTATTTTCCCTTCGACCCATAATCTTTTGGGAAAATGGGCACCAATATGTGAAAGATCCAGACTTGGTACCTTCGTGTTTGCCGGTAGAATAACTGATTAAATAGTTAAAAACTGTTTAAATTACCATACTAATTATCTTTAGGATGTTCCTTGGGGGTGGTAGTGTCGATGATACTATCAGGGTGGATAAGCGGTAGTTGGCTGGGGTGGCCTACAGTTTTCTACTTATACGGGTGTTTGGGGCTGGTGTGGACCCTGTTTTGGCTCATTTTGAGTTCAAACAGTCCCGCCGAGCACAGCAGAATAAGCGATGAAGAAAGAGAATATATCGAATCGTCTTTGGGGAACCAAGCAAATATTAGCGTGAGTACAAACGAGGCTTAAAGTGTGTTTTGTTATTTTTTTACGATAAATAATTTCCTACAGGAAACTCCCACCCCTTGGAAAAAAATTTTCACGTCTGTACCCTTCTGGGCCATTCTCATAACTCACTGTGCACAAAACTGGGGTTACTTCATTTTGCTAACCGAACTACCCACTTACATGGGACACGTTCTCAATTTCGACATTAAATCGGTAAAAAACTCGACGAATTAAGTAATCCGTAGGCACGATATTAATTAAAAATTATTTTTAGAACGGAATTCTTTCGGCTCTACCGTATCTTATCACATGGTTCCTCAGTTTTATTTTCAGCTCAGTTGCAGATTATCTTATAAACAGAGGAATAACGACGATCGGCGGAGCAAGGAAAATTAGTAATAGTATCGGTAATGATAACAATTGTTCTTATCTATGTTATTCAATTTTTTTTTTAAATTCCAAGAATTTTTTCTTTCACGTTGCTTCAATCCGAAACGTAGTTAAGAACTGATTGAAAATGTGTAAAGGAAAATATTTCCCAGAATTTTTTCGGGAATCGGATGGAGTTCTTTTCTAAATATTATTTTTTTGTGAAGGTCTGTATTCTCCAGCAATATGCCTAATATTGTTGGCCTTTCTTTCACACGGAGAAGAAACTACGGCACTGGCAGTTACGCTTCTTGTCGTTGGTGTTGGCCTAAATTCGGGTCACATGGCTGGCTATCAGGTCAACCATATCGATCTGTCCCCAACCCACGCCGGTACACTTATGGGAATCACAAACTGCATGGCCAATATTTGTTCTCTTATGGGTCCACTGTTTGTGCAATACATTGTCACTGATGAGGTATTTAAAACGATATATATTATAGTCAGTGGTGTAAATAAATAAAGGGGTTGTTTGACCCTGGCAGTGGCACTCAGGGGCGCCACTGTTAACGCTTGTTACACCACTGATTGTAATTATTATTTTTTTACTTTCAGAAAAATTTGGACCAATGGAAAATAGTGTTTTCTACGTCCGCTGCCATTTTTATTATAGGCGGCAGCACGTTTATTCTTTTAGGATCTGGAGAGCGGCAAATATGGGATTCCCCACCGTCGGTACCAAATCGTAAGTGAATTTGTTAATAACGTACTTACTGAAACCGATTATCTCTAATAAATTGTTTGTAGGTAGAAAAAGCTCTACAAATTCAACAAGATAAACCATCTTCATGCCAAATATCATGTGTACATATATTTGCATATTTTATTTATAAAACAATTGTTGATTTCGAATTAAATAAATGTTTATTTTTCGCAATTGCCACGATATTTTTTATCTCCTTGCAGCGTTATCAGTCGGTTGCCAAGAAACAGGGGATTATCGCTACTGTCACTGACGATAATTATTGAGTTTTACAAATTGTGTTTATTAAAAATATTTATTGTGTTGTTTTTGAATGGCCAGCCCATCTTTAAACACTTTCGGTTTGAAAGTAAGAAGGCCATCGGACACGTTGAAAGATGCTAAAGGTTTCTCGAAATATCGAGCCATTCAAGGAAATGTGAAGGTCCCCGATTTGAGATACACACCAAGATGGTCGACCATCGACATCGTTATAGACACGAGCAATTTTTCATACGAAAGTTTGAAACCGAGAGATCGTCTGCTGAATGATTACAAATTGGTCGCGAGAAAGGCTTTGATCTCCTCTATTACAGATTTAGAGATAATGGTAATACTTTGGGGGGGCATCAAAAAGTCAGAAAAGCATTCAAAATATATTTGCAGGCAAACTTACCGATCCTACTGCAAAACAATTGCAAAAGATTAAAGAGATTTTTTAACAGAGAAGAGATTCAATTTATTAAAAAAGTGGCAGAAAAGTACCAAATGCCGCCGCAAGAGTTCACCTGGGGTAAAGTACCACGTGAGACAATAGCCAATCTGAAACACATACAAGCTTTAAAAGAGGTACATGCCTATTTATGTATAATTTTGTATGTCAAAGTTCAAGTTTTTTGCATTAATGGTGACCAGGGCAGAATCTGAAATTGCCGCCTCATTCTTGTGCCCAAAACTACTGAATTTGTAAACATTAAAACCCTTTTTCCTCTAGTTACACCACTGTGTCTGTATGTGACGAGGCGACGGGGACCACTAGTCTTTTTTAAGGGATCTATTTAACTTCTCTTCTTTTTTTACATCTTCCTTCTAAACATCGAAATAGTTTTGTTAATTTAGAAATTCGAAAAATTTTTGTAAAGGTGTTTGTCTGTACGGGTGCGAAACGTAGACGATGGGCGCGGCGCGGGGACAAAAAGGTGAAAAACGTTCGAAATGTGGTTTCGATTATTATGATAAGAATACCGTGGATAGAGAAAGTTAGAAATGAACAGGTATTAGAAAGAATAGGAGAACAGAGGACTCTATGAAAGTCAATAAAAAATAGGCGAGATAGGTTGGCCAGTCAGAGACATATTAGAGACAGAAACAAGAGGAATAGAGGAAGACCTAGATTAGATTACTGTTCGCAAATAGTTAAGGATGAGGGTGGTTTTTGGGAAATGTGAAAATTGGCTCAAGATAGGAAGTGAGGAGGTGTGTGTCCAACCAGTCTTAGGACTAACGATCTTATGATAATGGTTCAGTCCGAAAACTGGTTGGGCAATCAACTACAAAATTCCTAAATTTCCCGAAAATTAGATCAATCTAAAAGAAGGAAGACAGTGTGGAAATAGACGAATTAGGATATTCCACAATGAGGAAAGAGCTAGACTCAGCATTAAAAAACTTAAGGAATGATAAAGCTTCAGGTATAGATGGGGTGCAGGCAGACATATACAGGTCCTGAAGGACTATAAACAGGAATACCAAAAGGTAGAGACGCGGATAGATGCCAGAAATTTAGAACAATTAGCTTAACTTTCCAAGTGTCAACAATTTTAACTAGAATCGTTCAGAGACATATGAAAGTAAGATGGAAGAATTATCAGGGGAAGTCCAAATTGGTGTAAGAAAACTGAGGCTGTTTCAACTTTAAGGGTACTAATAGATAAGACAGTGATTTCTTCTATCTTTTGCTTTTGTTAATGCTATCGAGTAATTAAGAAATTGTTTAAGCCGAAAGGTGAATCGACAATAATTAGCCCTGTAATGTCGAAAATGGTGGAGATTATGACCGATAATTACTGCCTAAGTGTTCAGAGAAACCAGGCAAATAATTTTTTGTTAAAAGAGGTCAACGTCTTGCTAGGACTCATGAGAGACTTGAAGGATATAATGGAGTACAACTTTAACATGTCCGCAACCGAAGAAAGGAAAAATAGAATTATTTATAACAGTGCTGTTAAGCAATTCAGCTCTCTCAAAGAAGAATTTCAAAGTACTTACCTACTAATACTTGCGAATACGGTCATAGTTTATTGCTTACGAACTCAGTAGTAATAGTACTGCGGTACAATTTGGCAAGTATTTCTTTTGCAGATCTCTCAACCACTATAGAGGAAAAAAGAGGGATATTTTTGATAGCAATAACCAACGAGAAAAAGAAAATTCAAGACCTATTGCAAGAGAAAGAGAACTTGGGCAAGAAAACGAAAGAGGATATAGCTCAATACGTGTAATAAAATAAATTAAGGTTCTTGTGATAGGTATACTCTGCCAGTTACTTTTGACATTAATCATCTTCCTTACACGAGAAGAATCAGTTTGGGCTACGATTTACAAAAACTACTGATGGGCACTGATATTTGTACCACTCATTTTTTTATTATTATTTAATAGAACAAATTCTGAAGTTGCGATGATGGATGATTCGATTGAGAGCCACGAAAACCAATCGGCTCTAACAAAGTCGGCTGCATTTGCTACAAACGAATACGAAACACTGCGTAAAAACAATCTGAAACGGGAAGAAGGCCTAAAAAAGAAATGCAGCAAAGTCGAAACAGTTTTGGCCAATTGGTTAAATCTGTACGACACTGACGTCGGCAAAAAGCGTCTAGAGTACGAAGAACTTAAAGATAAGTGAGTTAACATAAAGTACCGAAGAAGATGAATTAATTGCCAGTGGTTTTTAATATTATTTTCGAAAGGCTTGATGGTCTTATCGAAGACTACAACAATTGGAACGCAGCCTTAGATGAGCAGCAAGAACTGTACGACGAGTGCTTCGGCGAATTTGAAGAAGAAGAGAGGGAAAGGTTTGAAGAACTTGCTTATCAGTTCTTACGTAATAGGTCGGCTGCTACAATCCAAAGATATTATAGAGAATATCGCAAAAAGAGGAAGGAAAAATCGAAAGGAAGGAAATCCAAGAAAGGTGAGTCATGTATTAATAATAATAATATCAACATAGAGCGATTTGTTCGAAATTATTCTAACTACAAATTACTACAAAATCTAAACGCTTCAGTACCCTGCGTCATGCAGGTGAAAATGCTGGGAACGTGCGGATACAAAAGAATCGACTTTTGAAGAAAAATATTCCAGAGGGGATTTGGGATTCTTACCGTGCAGTTTACCATTACGATCATCTTGGGCAAGGGATTAATATATGCGTAATAAGCGCAAGGAGATCGAAGGTTTTCCCCAGGGGTATGGCAAAATCCCTTAGAACCCTCTGGTGCGGGCCTCCAGGAGTACCAGTTTTCATCACTGGTCAGATGTTCGAGGGATAAGTCCCCCTCCCAGTGGAATCAATCGCACTCTAACACTGGTAGATCATCTAGAGTTAATGAGACTGCCACATTCTCCTGACCTTTGGCATTTATGTCGGATGGGCTATCCTGGTCCCCCTTAATGAGTGTAACGAATGATACCAAACATTTTTTATTAGGGCTTCGGCCCTTTTCCTACATTTAGTAGGATAGGCTGCGGATATCCTTAATTTTAAGGATGAACTTCATCTAGTCTGTCGTCTCGGATTGTAGGGTTCGGTACGAAGCATCTGGTCTAACACCTCGAGCGGCTGTTTCTTATAATGTTTTTTAGAGTTTTGTACCCCCTTTCATCCTTTACCCCTCCCAGCCAATTTATTTGTCCTTTATGAATTTTTCAAATTTTACATTACATACATAGATGTATGTATCTATGTACATCAGTAGATACTATTTGAAATAAAAAATGGATTAATTTTTTAAATTACAGATAAGAAGCCAGTAAAGAAATCTGCTTCAGGTAAGTTTCTCGTATCGTATACATAACAGATAAATAACGATTATAAAATTAAATGTTGTTTAATAATGTAATTTAATATTTCGCTATTTTGTACATGTTTAGAAGTGAAAGTAGCTGTTGCAGTCGATAGAGGAGCAGACCTGTCATCAAAGGTTGAAAAGCAATTCGGAGGTGACGTTTTCAAAGAATTGGATCCAAATGTGGGCTTTGAAAAAACTGATAAAGTACAGCTCTAGCGAATGAGAAAGAACGGGGAATTTATTTTTTTTTTAATTTAAGTTTTTTATTATTTATTTTATTTTTATGTTATTTTGTATACATTCCTTCGGTACACATATTACATTAAATATATATTTTTTTTAACGAGCCACTCAAAAATAGTTTCAATTTCTATATACGTTTATCTTTACGAAATAAAATTGTTGCTGGGATACAAATAATTGAAAATTTCATTAGGGTGGTGGTGTGTCAAACAATGAAGGGTTGGATTTTTTTATTTTATAATTGTATTTAATGATTTTTTTTTAATTAAATTACAAGTTGTTTAATTCTAAGATAAGTAAATCAGCGATTATGGCAGCAACAACCCCAGAACATAAAATTTTCCTTCAGGACTTTAATTTGAAAATAGCCTTGGTGAAGTCAGTTTTTAGTGAGTGTTTAACGAAAATTGAATTAATGGTGTGTACATATCAATTTAATTATCCCAATTTCCTTGTCGTTTTCCTAAGGAAATGATAATTGTAGGTATTTTGTAGATTTGTCTGCCACAATTGCTGGATAACAAGGGAAAAATTCTTCAGTTTTATATCCATACTAAACCACAACTTCAGTTTTTGCTCAATACATTTTCAAAATTGGGAAAGCACAAAAATTCAATGGACACAATTGAAAAATCGGAACAATCAGAAGTAAAATAATCATGAAACGTCTCAATATCTTATTTATTACAGTAATTAAATTTACATTTAAGAAAAAGAAAAAGCTTTGGAATGGTCAATTTTTCAAAAACACTAAAGTTGGCAATTCAGTTAAAATTCATTCTGTCGCTGCAAGGGCCGTGGACGTTTTAACAAATAGCGAATGTCTTGTAAAACACAGAGAAAAGTACTTAAAAAACTTACCGCAAGGCGACAATTCGTTAAAACTTGTTAGGTTTATTAAAGACTTAATTGATATTTACATGGAAACTGCTTCTCTGTCTTGCCAGGAATTACGAGAAAGGGACGAAGAAATCAGGAAAGCTGTTGCATTGAGTCAAGCTATTCAACGGGATATTGTAGGTAAAATAATGATTTGTTAGGGTTCATGATACGATAATGATAAAATATACTACTTAAAGGTCAAGGTTATTCGTGAAAAGTCCGCCTTTTTCTCGCAAAAATTTCACGAAACTACATACATGTGTACATACACTCACGCATGCGTGAGCCGTTAAGCTAGTCGTCCCGTAATCTTTTTTTAATAAACGTCCAATACCGAGGTCTTTAATTCGATGTACGGTACATAGGCCTTCAAATAGATTTCGACCTACGAATAATTCGAATATATTTATAAAAGATTGGAGAGGACAAGTGAATAACAGTATCATTTTGAAAGTTTACAGTGTAATTTTAATATTATTTTTATTTGCCTAATGTCTTTTTCGTATGTACTTAGCAATACAATCGACACAACGCAGAAGAAAACAACAATCTGAAAAAGAACTTGCTCGCAAAAAGGGTTTACTTGAGAAATATATCTATTTGAAAAAACAACTTGGCAATAAATACAGCAAAATGTTACTGAACTTGAGGTATTTACACATACGTATATTAGGTACATTAAATTGCACTTTTTAAATCATTTTTATACTTATAAATATTGTACCTAAGCCTAAAATCTTTTATTTACGTATTCATAATCATCTTCCTTTGAAACACCCACCTCCACTCATTCCTATCTGGATCCTGTCGCATGCCTAACAGTTTGCGAATAGTACCAGCCCTCCCTTTACTCCTGTTCCTGCTTCTAATATGCCTCCAACTATTATTAGGCATTCGTCTGAAAGAGAAATGGCATTGGAGATGGACGCATCAAAAGAAAACGAAAACGACTTGGCACAGTTGGTTATTACATTAAATGAAAAATACAATTCTCTGATAAACAATCATTTATTGAGAGAGAAGAAAATCAAAAACAAACTTGGAAAGACCGAAGCGCATTTAGCCAGTTGGATTTCTAAATATGATTCAGACATTAGCGAGAAGAGACTGCAGTTGGAGGATTTGCAAGATCAGTAAGTGATCCGTGTAAAATATATAAATTATACATTATATTTGTGTCCTTAAGCATCGCTATAAAAAATACTTACACACAGTCGGACTTGATATAGAGTTTTGGGTTTTTAATGTTTCCCAATTGCCTTTGAATTCTTTTGAAACCGCTTTTAAATTTAAGACATTTTAACATTGCCATTTCAATTCCAATCCAATTTTTTTAATTAAACTGTTAAAATCTTCATAGTTTTGTATATAGATTTTGCAATTCAAATTTAAAACATTAATCTTTGAGTGCCTTAAAAAACGGGTGCGCGTTTTGGTTTACACTATTACATTGCAGTTGAAATCGTTTTTATATTTAGGTCGTCTTTATTTTGCCATTTCAATTACAATCAAAAATTTCCTTATGTCATCAAAATCTCCGTACTTCTTTTTCGTATAGATTTTAGTATGTATTTCAAACTTAAATCAATAATCTTTGAGTGCCTTAAAAAATGCGTGCACGTTTTGGTCTACACCATTTCATATCAGTTGAAATCGCTTTTATGTTTAAGTCGTTTTTTACGTTACCATTTCAATTACAATCAAAAATTTGCTTATACCATCAAAATCTCCATACTTCTTCATATAGATTTTGATATTTTAAACTTAAAACATGAACCTCTGAGTGCCTTAAAAAACGCGTGCGCGTTTTGATCTACACCATTTCGAAGTAGTGCTTTAATTACAAATGAATGTATGCTTGTAATATTTCTAGATTTAAGAACATTTGTCTCAATATTGAAGATTTGGAAGATCAATTGGATAATGTTGACATGCTTTATCGTCGATTTAAAACTGAGGAGGAATATGCGCAAAGGGAGAAACTTGAAGAAACTGCCATGCTCTTCTTGAGAAACAAAGCGGCTTTTAAAATTCAAAGATATTGGCGTGTATATAGACAAATGAAGTTAGTACGCCGTACAGGTAAATAATTAAGTAATTTCTAATGGAATATCAACTCCGTTATTATTTTGTTTAATATTTNGTTTTTCTTTCACTCCTAAGTTTAATAAACTTAAATCAATAAGAAAACACAAAAAAAGGAATTAAAGCCTATCAAAACAAATTTTATCATTCTGAACAGAGCAAATCTTTCTTTTCGGTCTTAACACGGTTATTTACATTGTATTATTCCTTTTCAGAACTTTCGTCTGTTGATTCTGAAGAATCAGATTCATTCGTCTGATTTTCTTTAGCTTTGCCATTGTCTCCTTCTTTTTTCAACCTTTTATTCTTCTCCTTCATTTTTGCTTTCTTTTTAAGCCTTTTAGCCCTTTTTTTAGATGTTATTTCTTCTGCTTTCTTCTTATTTTCTTCAATTTTTTTTCTGTATTCATCGTCCAACCTTTCCTACATTTTAAAGATTTGTGTGTTATAAGTAACATTTTGAATATAAATTCTAAAACATTTACCTTTTCTCCTCTTTCTTTCATGTACTTTTGCCTTGCATATTCCTTTCTTCTTAAATGACGGTACACATGAAATTCACCAGATCCAGCTCCAGCACTGGAGCCCATTACATTTCTAACAAATTCAGGTACTGCGGGAACACCCTTTTCTTTTGGTTTTTCGGGAATAATTACCGGTTTATCCTGAATAAACACAATTAAATAGTAAATAATGCAAACATCTTTATTGTTGTACACTTACTGGGTTTTTCATCAATTTTTCTAGCTTCAAACGTTGCAAATCAGTTATATTTTTTATTATGATTGGTCCACGTTGTGGATTTTCTGGACTATCCATATTTATTTATCTTTTAGCCCTCAATTTTATTCTAAATTCGTTTTCGTTTTGTAAATCAACAACCTTTATTTTTATGGTTAGGTGCAGTTATTTAATCTATGGTTATATGTATTATCTATGATACATATAATATCCATAGCTATGGTAATCCATAGATTACCATACATTACCATAGATGTTACCCACAGACAAAAATATTACCATAGAAGACTGTAATAGAAAATGATTTGACAAGAAGAACAAAAAGAAGTAAAGTAGATTGTAATTAGAAATAAAATTAATTAATAATAACCTTTAAACTTTCTTCGTCTAAGATTTTGAAAGACTGTAAATTTTTATTAGTATTAGTATAAATGTTCCATTTAATTCTATGTTTTAGGAAATTTGGAAGATATCAATCATAGATTCGTGTATTCAATGGTGGATTAAAAATGGTAGACGTCAAAATTTACATGTTTTGAGAACTGTCAGTTATCTGTCATTAAATATCGAAGTGTTGTGTTATCATTATATGGTTTAATCGAATTATTAATATTTTAATAAGTGTATTATCGGCTGGATTAAAAACAAATCTAACGATTACTTAAATTTCCATTTAGTGATTAAAAAATTAACATTCTCATAATCCAACTTGTTAAGATTTTCAATTTCGAATGACTTCTGGCTGACTGCAATGTAAGGTGTCCAAAGTGTACCTAACTGGTTTAACTGGACGATGCAAGAAATGTTGTTATTGTAAAGTATATTAAAAAAAACTGCAAAATGATGGATTCTGATTTGGGAAACGCGGATATTTGTCGCGTGTGCCGTTCTGAAGGGATGATCGAAAGACCACTGTTTCACCCTTGCATTTGTACAGGAAGTATAAAGTGGATTCATCAAGAGTGTTTAGTACAATGGATGCGTTATTCTAGAAAAGAATATTGTGAATTATGTGGCTACCGTTTTTCATTTACACCTATTTATTCACCGGACATGCCAAGAAGACTTCCCTTAAAGGACATTATTGAAGGCCTTATTTGTTCAGTAGGAACTGCGTTTAAATATTGGCTGCATTATTCTCTTGTTGCAATTGCTTGGCTGGGAGTAGTACCATTATCTGCATGCAGAACTTATCGTTGTTTGTTTTCTGGCTCAATAGAATCAGTTCTTACGTTACCAGTTGATCTGTTTTCAACTGACAACATTGGTGCAGATATTTTCCAAGGATGCTTTGTAGTTACTTGTACCCTATTTGCCTTTATTGGATTAGTGTGGCTTAGAGAACAAATTCTTCATGGTGGAGGACCAGACTGGCTAGAGCACGATCGCTTAGCTCAGCCGCCAATTGAGGAAGCTGCAGGTGTAGGTGTGGTTAATAATAACCCTGAAGACGTCGTTTACGCCGAAGATGTGGGGGTCAACAACAATGTTAGACAAGCAGAACAAGAGGTATGTGCTTTTGTATTAATTAGGTTTATAGTATGTACCTATGTTGTGAATAATTATTGTGTGCTTTAGGTAGAAAATGGTGCAAGAGTAATTGCTGCAGCAGCTGAACCAGCAGAAGAATTGGATGGAAATGCTGGAGATGAAAACAACTGGATTCCAATGGAATGGGATAGGGCAGCTGAAGAGCTAACCTGGGAGCGACTTCTAGGTCTTGATGGTTCTTTGGTGTTTTTGGAACATGTATTTTGGGTGATTTCTTTGAACACACTCTTCATTTTTATCTTTGCATTCTGCCCTTACCATATGGGTCTTGTTGCGTTATCGATATTAGGCATGCGAGAACCTGCAGCAGCGAGTCATTTCGAGGGTCTACTGACTACCCTGTTTGGATACTGCCTTGTAGGAATGTTGCTGATTATACTACATAAAATTGCGACGCTTTTTAGGCTGGCGAAAGCCCGTCGTATGCTCGGTCTATGCTACGTGGTGGTCAAAGTGTCGATGCTTTCGGTCGTTGAAATTGGTATTTTACCTTTAGTCTGTGGCTGGTGGTTGGACATCTGTTCCTTAGCCATGTTTGATGCCACACTCAGAGACCGAGAAGTCAATTTTAAAATCGCCCCTGGGACGTCGATTTTCATCCACTGGCTCGTAGGAATGGTCTATGTTTATTATTTCGCGTCCTTTGTCCTTCTTCTACGAGAAATTTTACGTCCGGGAGTCTTGTGGTTTCTCAGAAATCTAAACGATCCCGATTTTAGTCCCATTCAAGAAATGATACACCTCCCCATTCTGCGCCACATTCGTAGACTACTTTTATCTGCCATTATTTTTGGTAGTGCTGTATTGCTGATGCTGTGGCTGCCAATAAGGATTCTACGAGTTGTCTGCCCCTCCTTTCTCCCATATACAGTCACAGTTAACAACGAGGCTCAAGTTAACGAATTGAGCCTGGAGTTGTTGCTTCTTCAAGTCATCTTACCTGCTTTATTAGAACAATCTCACACACGCATCTGGCTTAAGGCTGTTGTAAGGATTTGGTGCAAAGCTGTAGCTTGGCTGCTTGATATCCATTCTTACCTTTTGGGGGACGCCGACACTAATAACATGCAACAACCCAACAACGAACGGAACAACCAAAATAACGCACAACTACCACCTGCCGCACCAGAATTAGTTGGAGGTTTGGGAGCTGCACATCATGCACTTTTAATGAGGGAAGGACCGACAGGTAAGAATTTTCATTCTATAAAATTTCCTATTTTCGCAAAACAGTAAACCACTATATCTTCTCCCTGCGGACACGCGTTTCACTCACTTCTAATGTGCCAATATTAAAGTAAGACTGTATCCACAGGTAAATGGTTTAGTGGTAACTAGGGTGGGTTTCTTTGTAGTTTTCGTTTTTTTTTTTACTTTATAAAATATTTGTTTTAACAAACTATTTAATAAAGTACTACAAAAAAACATTACAGACAGACAATACAAACGCATTTGTTGAATATTTTATTGAATAGTTCTTAAAACGGTACGAAATGTGTATACCTTTTTACATAGATCTTAGACGTTCCACTCCAAACTTGTGGAAAGTTTGTATGAGACTATTTATGATTTTTTTATATGGTTTAGGTTACCAGCCGTACGAAAAACCGTCGTTCTTCGTGGCACGTTTAATACTTTTACTTGTGCTTGTATGCTTTTCATTGATAGCATCGAGCTTGGTAATATTAACGGTTCCGGTATGGTTGGGTCGTCATGTGATGGAGCTGTGGTTACTAGCAGATCCTCAAATCGCGACCATGACATCGACAACGACGACAACCCATTCACTTTCGCGTACAAGTGCCAAAGTTCACGAATTGTACACGGCCGCGTGCGGGACGTACATGTGTTGGCTAGGGGTTCGTGCGGCCACCCTTGTGCTTGGCTGGTTGCCCCAGGGTCGTGCGGCAATTTTCGAACGTCTTAAACAGTGGTGCGTGCTCGGTTTAAAGACCATAATTGTGAGCGCCGTCTTGCTCGGTCTCATCCCCCTCTTGTTCGGTCTTTTACTTGAATTGGTCGTTATAGTGCCCTTGAGGGTTCCTTTACACCAGACGCCCATATTGTTTATATGGCAAGACTGGGCCCTAGGGGTTTTGTATACGAAAATCGCATGCGCTGTCACGATGATGGGCCCCGAATTCTCCCTGCGAGCTGCCATCGAACGGGCCTATCGCGATGGCATTCGAGACATGCAACTTAAGTTTATATTTAGTGAATTGGCGGCCCCCGTTATCATCTGCTTCGGCCTTATCCTGTCCGTACCGTATGTGATTATTTACTCGATCGTTCCCCTATTTGTCAGCAGTCGTCAGATGAGGAATTTGATCGCGAGAAGGCTTTACCCCTTTATGCTACTTGTCGTCGTCGCGGGGATGATAGTCGTGTTTCAGATAAGACAGTTTAAAAAATTATACGAGCACATTAAGAATGATAAGTACTTAGTTGGACAGAGGCTGGTCAATTACGATCATCGTAAAACGAAAGTGAATAGCTCAGCGTCGACTGCACCGCCATCGGCTTCCTCCTTGAACAACGCTAATAATTAATTGATTTTATTATTAATTTGTTGTTGTTACTATTCAATTTTAAATGATGTTTTGCAAAAGATGAAAAACAAGACACCACTTACACTTACTCAAACACAAGTCGGATATTGTGCTATCAATTGATTCTGTTTCACACTTATTGTACTATTATTGCTATTATTATTAATAGGTATCATTATTATAAATAAATCTTTTGTTATTATTTTATAAAAGCGTTTATTATAATATACCACAGTATAAACGTCATCTAACTTAACAAATGACAGAATAAATCCGAGCCAACAAAACGAGAAAACGTTACAACGAACATAAAAAATTGTATCACGACTAAAAAACTTTTCTGCGAAGAACGGATACAAGCCATTAAATCAAATTGTAATTGTACTTTTAAAAATTCCGTTTTTTATTCTGCCCTTTTTATAAAAATAAATATTTAACCATTTATTTATCATTATTATTTATTATTTTTGCCTTAAAAAATCTCAAAAGTCTAATCTGTAAAATCCTTAACAATTTACAGAAATTTTATGGTAGATATTGATTAATACGATCTGTGGACAACAATTTTGTTGATCGGTTTGAGCAGAGTGCCTTCCAGCTTATGGGTTTTAGGTTTTCGTTTAAGAGCCACTTTAACTATTGTAAATATTTTTATAACATAAGTAAACTCTTCCTCTTCTTGTGTTTCAGGATACCTTATGCTAATTTGCTTTTTAGAATGTTCTTCTGTAAAAGTCCACGTTACTTTCTCGTCAAAAGACTATAAAGGAAAATTATAATTAGCTGATTAATTATTAGTTACGAAAAACTGTATAAACTCTTACGTCTTCATATATTCTCACGTTTGTCCCGGTTGCAATTACAATGACATCAAATGAACGGTCCTTAACGTCACAAACAACGGCGTCTTGTATAAATGGTTGATGGGTTTCAACATAATGGGCAAAGAACAGGTCACAACTAGCCTCACCTGCTCTTTTCGCATTATATTTCTGTTTATTACAGTTAGCTGCCAACTTGACAACACTTTCTCTTTCCCATTGTGGTTTCTCTGTATAACCTGAAGGGAATTAAATGGACAATTAAATACATACAACCCTCTTTATAATTAAAAATGGTATTAAAGGAATTAAGGAATTACCTAAGGTGGCGGCAAGCAAACGATGTACGATAATGTCTGCGTAACGTCGAATTGGAGAAGTGAAATGGGTATAAAGTGGAATGCTTAAAGCATAATGGTAAAATTCAGCTGGATCTTGACCATCCTCGGAACAAAAGTACCTCGCTCGAGTCATAGGCTTCGCAAGAAGGTGATTAAGTACAACCATTTTGGCCATACCTTTAAGAAGCATCACAAAACAATGATTCAAAATTAGTAAATTATTTGCTCTAATTTTGAGACATAAAAGCAAATCAGCAATGCTACTTATGTAGTGTTTATTAAACAAAATTATTACCTGCATAATCGTTAGAGGTATGTGCACGGAGACTGGACTGTATGTCTCCTGATGAAGAAATATCCAAATGAACATCGACCGCTTTCATCGTTTTCTGCAAATCTTCTAGCATATGTCTAGTGGGAGGATCGTGGCATCGTAAAAAGGCAATGTCAGGATAGTTTTGAACCAATTTTTTGGCCACACTTATATTTGCCAATAACATAAACTCCTCGATAAGACGGTGAGCTTCCTTGTTTTCATAAACAAACCATTCAGTTGGAACCATTGATGTAGGATCAAGCCGGAACACCATTTTTGGTTGATTGATTTGTAAAGCGCCATTTTCGAATCGTTTGCGGCGCAAGTTTAATGATATTTCGTACAACGCCGTAACTACTTTTTTAAGGTCATTCCACTCAAAGCCGTTGTGTATTTTAGGTGTCCCATCATCAGAAATCTCATCATCAGGATTCTCGATTATTTTCTGAGCGTGTTCGTATGCAAGTTGAGCGCAGGAATTGATTACGGATCGTGTATACTCAGTTTTGAGGATTTCCCCTTCACTTGTCATCTCCCACAATACGGAAAAGGAAAGTTTATCTTTGCCAGGTAACAATGAGCAGTGCATGCACATCTCGGTGGGTAGCATGTGAAAAACGTTGTCAACCAGATAAATAGAAGTTGCTTTCTGGCTCACGATAGTGTCCAGGATAGTGGCCTCTTTTAAATAATGCGCGACGTCGGAAATGTGAACACCAACTAAATAATTACCATTTTCGAGTTCCTTACAAGAAACGGCATCGTCCAAGTCCCGAGCGGTCAGAGGATCAATAGTAAAAATACATTCGTTCCTTAAATCTTTTCTGTAAGATAAATCTTCTTCGCTGATGTCTGTCTGTTTTGGGACGTGTTGTAACGCTTCGGGCGGGAATGGGGACACGTCAAGTTCATTTTCTAAAAGTAACGCTGTAGTTTCAACGACCAAATTGAAACTAGTGCCGACGTTTTTAAGTATTACGCCAACAGCAAAGTTAACGTTAACCCATAATATAATTTTGGCCAAAAATAAGGTTTCTTCGTATCTAGATGGGTCCTTGGTAAACAGTGGGGGCCAATAAATCGGATCGATTTCCATCCTAGGGATCCTATTGTCACGGGGACAGAATAGGGCCTGAATTTTATTTTTGTTTTTATGCTGTACTCTTATATATCCTACTGCTTTTCTAGGATGAACCTGCATACATACAAAAACTATCATGTATCTTATATTTTTAATAAGGTTTCTCTATCCTACAACTTACCATTTCAAGGATATAAACAACAACAGCAGTTTGCTGTTTCTCCTTCCACTCATCTTCTGATTTTAATTTAAGAGCAACAACATCACCTTCTAAGGCTCTGTTTCTGTCTAGTAAAGACTCAATTACATAGTCTTGTTTGCTACGGTCTTTGTTACTAACATATGCTTCTTTATAGTTTTTGGGATTAATTCGTAATATTCCCTTTATCAGTTCACCATTCTGTAAACCTTTTTCAACTTCATTGGGAGACCAATAATTTGGAAACATAACATTTTTCTTATTGTTTTTATCTTTTTTCTTTTTGGTGGGTATTTCTGAAGACTGCAAAGGTAATCTACTATTATTAACAGTTTCTTTTTGTCTGATAGCTACTGATGTACCATTTTCTTTTGTTAATTTATTTTGATGTGGTGTGGATTCTTCCTGAATGTTTGTGTTTCTTTTGGAAACAACAACTTCGCTTTCATTTTCATCACAAAAAATTTGTTTCTTTACGACAAAAATGTTGTGTAACTCTTTGGCCTTCTTTCTTTTATTTTTAACCCTGTAGGCTATGCCGTTTTTGTGACAGTTGCCTGCCATGATCTTAAAATTGCTAAACAACTTTTCTGTAAATATTAAGTAAGCATCGTAATCAATTTCTGTGTAATTATCAACGGTTTCATCAACTTCAACTTGATTTTTAGGTTTATACACAGTAAATGTTTTACGACTATTGAATGTATTCCACTTTTTTTTTAGCTTGTTCGTTACAACAAACGAACCCTGTGTTGTTGTATCTAACATATTACTTGGTTTATCCGGTAACTGCACTTTTTTATTTAGCCTTTTCGGGGAAGAACATGTTTTCAAACTTCCAAAATTAAAAATAACCCTGTTTTCGATTCCTTGACTCATTTTCAGTTGTAAAAGAAAGTCGTGTTGTATACTATTTCATACATAATTTAACTAATTAATAACACAAATTATTAGATTTATTCCTTGTCTTTAATCACCTTTTGTCTTGCATATTCCTTTCTTCTTAAATGACGGTACACATGAAATTCACCAGATCCAGCTCCAGCACTGGAGCCCATTACATTTCTAACAAATTCAGGTACTGCGGGAACACCCTTTTCTTTTGGTTTTTCGGGAATAATTACCGGTTTATCCTGAATAAACACAATTAAATAGTAAATAATGCAAACATCTTTATTGTTGTACACTTACTGGGTTTTTCATCAATTTTTCTAGCTTCAAACGTTGCAAATCAGTTATATTTTTTATTATGATTGGTCCACGTTGTGGATTTTCTGGACTATCCATATTTATTTATCTTTTAGCCCTCAATTTTATTCTAAATTCGTTTTCGTTTTGTAAATCAACAACCTTTATTTTTATGGTTAGGTGCAGTTATTTAATCTATGGTTATATGTATTATCTATGATACATATAATATCCATAGCTATGGTAATCCATAGATTACCATACATTACCATAGATGTTACCCACAGACAAAAATATTACCATAGAAGACTGTAATAGAAAATGATTTGACAAGAAGAACAAAAAGAAGTAAAGTAGATTGTAATTAGAAATAAAATTAATTAATAATAACCTTTAAACTTTCTTCGTCTAAGATTTTGAAAGACTGTAAATTTTTATTAGTATTAGTATAAATGTTCCATTTAATTCTATGTTTTAGGAAATTTGGAAGATATCAATCATAGATTCGTGTATTCAATGGTGGATTAAAAATGGTAGACGTCAAAATTTACATGTTTTGAGAACTGTCAGTTATCTGTCATTAAATATCGAAGTGTTGTGTTATCATTATATGGTTTAATCGAATTATTAATATTTTAATAAGTGTATTATCGGCTGGATTAAAAACAAATCTAACGATTACTTAAATTTCCATTTAGTGATTAAAAAATTAACATTCTCATAATCCAACTTGTTAAGATTTTCAATTTCGAATGACTTCTGGCTGACTGCAATGTAAGGTGTCCAAAGTGTACCTAACTGGTTTAACTGGACGATGCAAGAAATGTTGTTATTGTAAAGTATATTAAAAAAAACTGCAAAATGATGGATTCTGATTTGGGAAACGCGGATATTTGTCGCGTGTGCCGTTCTGAAGGGATGATCGAAAGACCACTGTTTCACCCTTGCATTTGTACAGGAAGTATAAAGTGGATTCATCAAGAGTGTTTAGTACAATGGATGCGTTATTCTAGAAAAGAATATTGTGAATTATGTGGCTACCGTTTTTCATTTACACCTATTTATTCACCGGACATGCCAAGAAGACTTCCCTTAAAGGACATTATTGAAGGCCTTATTTGTTCAGTAGGAACTGCGTTTAAATATTGGCTGCATTATTCTCTTGTTGCAATTGCTTGGCTGGGAGTAGTACCATTATCTGCATGCAGAACTTATCGTTGTTTGTTTTCTGGCTCAATAGAATCAGTTCTTACGTTACCAGTTGATCTGTTTTCAACTGACAACATTGGTGCAGATATTTTCCAAGGATGCTTTGTAGTTACTTGTACCCTATTTGCCTTTATTGGATTAGTGTGGCTTAGAGAACAAATTCTTCATGGTGGAGGACCAGACTGGCTAGAGCACGATCGCTTAGCTCAGCCGCCAATTGAGGAAGCTGCAGGTGTAGGTGTGGTTAATAATAACCCTGAAGACGTCGTTTACGCCGAAGATGTGGGGGTCAACAACAATGTTAGACAAGCAGAACAAGAGGTATGTGCTTTTGTATTAATTAGGTTTATAGTATGTACCTATGTTGTGAATAATTATTGTGTGCTTTAGGTAGAAAATGGTGCAAGAGTAATTGCTGCAGCAGCTGAACCAGCAGAAGAATTGGATGGAAATGCTGGAGATGAAAACAACTGGATTCCAATGGAATGGGATAGGGCAGCTGAAGAGCTAACCTGGGAGCGACTTCTAGGTCTTGATGGTTCTTTGGTGTTTTTGGAACATGTATTTTGGGTGATTTCTTTGAACACACTCTTCATTTTTATCTTTGCATTCTGCCCTTACCATATGGGTCTTGTTGCGTTATCGATATTAGGCATGCGAGAACCTGCAGCAGCGAGTCATTTCGAGGGTCTACTGACTACCCTGTTTGGATACTGCCTTGTAGGAATGTTGCTGATTATACTACATAAAATTGCGACGCTTTTTAGGCTGGCGAAAGCCCGTCGTATGCTCGGTCTATGCTACGTGGTGGTCAAAGTGTCGATGCTTTCGGTCGTTGAAATTGGTATTTTACCTTTAGTCTGTGGCTGGTGGTTGGACATCTGTTCCTTAGCCATGTTTGATGCCACACTCAGAGACCGAGAAGTCAATTTTAAAATCGCCCCTGGGACGTCGATTTTCATCCACTGGCTCGTAGGAATGGTCTATGTTTATTATTTCGCGTCCTTTGTCCTTCTTCTACGAGAAATTTTACGTCCGGGAGTCTTGTGGTTTCTCAGAAATCTAAACGATCCCGATTTTAGTCCCATTCAAGAAATGATACACCTCCCCATTCTGCGCCACATTCGTAGACTACTTTTATCTGCCATTATTTTTGGTAGTGCTGTATTGCTGATGCTGTGGCTGCCAATAAGGATTCTACGAGTTGTCTGCCCCTCCTTTCTCCCATATACAGTCACAGTTAACAACGAGGCTCAAGTTAACGAATTGAGCCTGGAGTTGTTGCTTCTTCAAGTCATCTTACCTGCTTTATTAGAACAATCTCACACACGCATCTGGCTTAAGGCTGTTGTAAGGATTTGGTGCAAAGCTGTAGCTTGGCTGCTTGATATCCATTCTTACCTTTTGGGGGACGCCGACACTAATAACATGCAACAACCCAACAACGAACGGAACAACCAAAATAACGCACAACTACCACCTGCCGCACCAGAATTAGTTGGAGGTTTGGGAGCTGCACATCATGCACTTTTAATGAGGGAAGGACCGACAGGTAAGAATTTTCATTCTATAAAATTTCCTATTTTCGCAAAACAGTAAACCACTATATCTTCTCCCTGCGGACACGCGTTTCACTCACTTCTAATGTGCCAATATTAAAGTAAGACTGTATCCACAGGTAAATGGTTTAGTGGTAACTAGGGTGGGTTTCTTTGTAGTTTTCGTTTTTTTTTTTACTTTATAAAATATTTGTTTTAACAAACTATTTAATAAAGTACTACAAAAAAACATTACAGACAGACAATACAAACGCATTTGTTGAATATTTTATTGAATAGTTCTTAAAACGGTACGAAATGTGTATACCTTTTTACATAGATCTTAGACGTTCCACTCCAAACTTGTGGAAAGTTTGTATGAGACTATTTATGATTTTTTTATATGGTTTAGGTTACCAGCCGTACGAAAAACCGTCGTTCTTCGTGGCACGTTTAATACTTTTACTTGTGCTTGTATGCTTTTCATTGATAGCATCGAGCTTGGTAATATTAACGGTTCCGGTATGGTTGGGTCGTCATGTGATGGAGCTGTGGTTACTAGCAGATCCTCAAATCGCGACCATGACATCGACAACGACGACAACCCATTCACTTTCGCGTACAAGTGCCAAAGTTCACGAATTGTACACGGCCGCGTGCGGGACGTACATGTGTTGGCTAGGGGTTCGTGCGGCCACCCTTGTGCTTGGCTGGTTGCCCCAGGGTCGTGCGGCAATTTTCGAACGTCTTAAACAGTGGTGCGTGCTCGGTTTAAAGACCATAATTGTGAGCGCCGTCTTGCTCGGTCTCATCCCCCTCTTGTTCGGTCTTTTACTTGAATTGGTCGTTATAGTGCCCTTGAGGGTTCCTTTACACCAGACGCCCATATTGTTTATATGGCAAGACTGGGCCCTAGGGGTTTTGTATACGAAAATCGCATGCGCTGTCACGATGATGGGCCCCGAATTCTCCCTGCGAGCTGCCATCGAACGGGCCTATCGCGATGGCATTCGAGACATGCAACTTAAGTTTATATTTAGTGAATTGGCGGCCCCCGTTATCATCTGCTTCGGCCTTATCCTGTCCGTACCGTATGTGATTATTTACTCGATCGTTCCCCTATTTGTCAGCAGTCGTCAGATGAGGAATTTGATCGCGAGAAGGCTTTACCCCTTTATGCTACTTGTCGTCGTCGCGGGGATGATAGTCGTGTTTCAGATAAGACAGTTTAAAAAATTATACGAGCACATTAAGAATGATAAGTACTTAGTTGGACAGAGGCTGGTCAATTACGATCATCGTAAAACGAAAGTGAATAGCTCAGCGTCGACTGCACCGCCATCGGCTTCCTCCTTGAACAACGCTAATAATTAATTGATTTTATTATTAATTTGTTGTTGTTACTATTCAATTTTAAATGATGTTTTGCAAAAGATGAAAAACAAGACACCACTTACACTTACTCAAACACAAGTCGGATATTGTGCTATCAATTGATTCTGTTTCACACTTATTGTACTATTATTGCTATTATTATTAATAGGTATCATTATTATAAATAAATCTTTTGTTATTATTTTATAAAAGCGTTTATTATAATATACCACAGTATAAACGTCATCTAACTTAACAAATGACAGAATAAATCCGAGCCAACAAAACGAGAAAACGT